ATATGTATACATATATATGTATATATATATATATATACGAGTGTAGACTGTAGAATTGTAATCAAGATCGCGTTTGGTATGAAGTCACGTTTCAAGTACCCCCAATTAAGAGTACAGGTACGAAACACATACTTCAGCAAAGGTTGTACTTTGTAATCTCCATAAGCCGCGGTACAAGCTTCCTCCGCGGTAGTGCATGATCCAAGGCCACTTTCACCCTGGTGATATTGCGCGGAATTCGCTACGTAATATCCAGCTGCCACTGCAGTTGTCAAAGCAGCTCCCACACCTAATGCAATCTTAGCACTCATAGTTCCTATTTTCAAATATTGATGTACTTCAAAACAGGAAAAGCATACATATATTTATGTCTTCCTGCTTTGATTATGTTTGAATTAATTCTGAAATATCTATATTCATATGCAAAATGCATTTCTTAATTAAAGGTCCCATCGTATCATTCTACGTATGTATACGATAACGCATCAATTACTCCACACACAAAAGGGAAAGAAGCAGCAATAAACAGAATAAATACATACGTACATATTTACTGAAAGTCCGGCTGGGTTTCCAGCCACTCGGACAGGGGCCCCAGGCCCCCACAGCTAGTCAGTCCCCACACACAAGAAGAAGGGCAGGCCGTCAGCCTGGGCCAGATACTGAGATAAATAAACAAACCATACATAATTAATATTGCTTTTTGTTAAAATATATATATATATATATATATATATATATATATACATAGTTAGGTATGTATGGTACGTATTATTATTAAAAAACGGCGTTACTGGTTACACGACCATGTAGAGTAATTTGACTAATTTCGTCAGAAAAAAAAACATATAACTTTTCTATTTATAAAATGAGATGTGCGAAGCAAAATAACAGCCAATAGTAAATGGTAAATGGAGTACTCCTTCACAATAAAATGCAAATTCAACTGAATTCTACAATCTACGGTCTACTCTTGTGAGGCGTAAGGGAATGTCAATTGTTTGCTGCGCCGCGCCCACTTGCCCAGGCTGCCCTCTACCACGGCACATAGGCGCCGGCAACAACAAGAGGCTTGGTATTTACATACATTCTATGTAGAAACCCAAAGGACAAAGGACAAAGGCCCAAGGCCAAGGGCCAAGGGATCCAGGCGCCCCCACTCCCCCGCCCCAGCAACCTAACAACAGGCCGGGCAGACTCCCCAGAGTGGAGGGCCTGGCACTCTGGCAGCCAGGATTTCAGATGGTCAGAGACATCAGGCAACTGCTGTGTAAATATTTACTTAATTACTAGCTTTTTGGCATTTTGCCTTTTAGGGAGGGGTGGGGGCGGGAGTGGATAAAAAAATAAAAGAACGTTTTCTTTGTCGCAGTTTTCGTTTAGTCGTGGACGTGTACACGCATAATGTACACAATACTGAACACACATGCACAATTGCACACCAATCTGAAACTAACAAGTGAGATAATCGCCCAACTATATAAATGGTCGAACTCACTCAAAGTCTAGTAGCTGGGATCAGGTCCGCAAACATATTTAGGGTGTTGCATGATGCTATCATTCTCGTGGATTGGCGGAGGGTGTGCAAGTAATCGTACGTATATAAATAATGACCAAATTTTTATGCAGCTTGTTTGAATACTCCTCGGGCACAACTGTGTCGATCACTCCCCGATATTAACCTCAGTTCTGTGTCTTGCTTAATTTCTTTCACTACCATCATCCTATGAGTTCAACATCATACAATCCAAGTATTGAGAAAAATGACATAGAATCCTCTGACAAGACTACAAGATTTACTTGGATACAATAACATTGTTAGGGACAACAGGTATTACTCGCTATTGACAAACTCTTCCGTGAGCTGTTCGGATGTTTGCCACAGCTTCTCCCTCAAAGCCGTATCGTTCATCCAATCTTCGTATGTGTTCTTTGCTACGTTGCAATCTGAGAAGTATTCTCCAGAGTGTTCCATCGCCTTAGGGCTCACTGCACAGAAAACCGATGTTGCGGCACCTGTTGTGACAATATATGCGAAAACTTTAGAACCAAAAGGTACGCAAATGGGAACATACGCTAAGTACTCAGCCAACGGCTGAGCCCCTCGAATTTATCTGAGCCTGCTCATGTGGTGATGGCTTGGATAATCCTAGGCGCATCTGGGTTAGGGTTACCCAGAAGCAGTTCGATAGCTGTTTATATTATTACACTCCCCAATTGCCGTCGGTGGCGGTACGTATAGGTATATATCTCAAACTTGCCTGAAGATGTATGGCTTTTGGTCGTGCACGCATAGAATACTGAAAGACATTTGCCGATATACACCACCGCCTCAGTGCAGTACACGAACAATGTTGCAGTGTATGTGTGCGTTTGTGTTTCAGTATGTGTTGTTTATGTGCACAAATAAGTGTCTCCATTCCTATTGAATGGTAATCGGTTTTCTAGAACTATTCTGAAAATAAACCAGAGTTGCCAATTTGAAATATCATTTCAATGAAAAGCCTGATAAGCTTGTATCAGGTTGGCAGAGTGTGTGCGTATAGACATGTTTATACATCGTAGGTGAATAGTGTTTGTATAATGTACATAAGATCATGCTGCTATACGAATAGAATATGATTTTAAACGAGTAAATGAGGCTTAGACTTGCACGGTCACATAACGGTGTCGTGTATATAGATATCTAAATATGCATCATAAATTCAGTTATACGTACACGAACACAGGTATATATCATCACAATTTCAGTTACGTAAGCGACAACACCAACTGACCTTGATCCTGGTTTTTGAACACGAATGGCGTCACAGTGGCCCAGAATATCTTGGTACCGATGCGTACATGCGATTGTAGATTAGTGTGGATGCCTCCGGGATGTAGAGAGAAGCCTCTGATACCATCTTGTGCGTATCTCTCGTCCAGTTCCTTTGCGAATAGCACATTAGACATCTTTGCAATACCATACCCTTCCCTGTTACAACGAACGTTCGGTACAATTGTTTTTGTAAGGGATTAATTATGTGTATTTGTTGCGTTATAGTCCTGTAACAATTGTACTCTATTATACCATCGTGGTGCAATAACTAACTATAGGTTTGTAAAATACCTTGTTACGATTGCACATAGAAAACAAGTAAATATATATGAGAAAATTGATACACTTGCTACCGATAAATGTGTGTAGCCATGAGCCACACTTAAGAGTACAATACGAAAATGTTGATAACTTTCTGTACGCGGATAGCGAATGATGTACTTTGAAACGACATGCCAATGCATGTATACATACTATATACAACAGTCAAATCAGTTTCCCTGCAGCCTTATGCGGCGTAGGTCGTGTACATCGATCAGATCTCGAATACAAACATTGAATTCTGAGTAAACCAATGGGAATATAAATAACATCCTCCACATACCATGGTTCATATTCGGCAAGTTCTAATTTTGGATAATAGATCCAATCCGTATTCTTAGCGCAATAGTGTGCAATAGATGACACCGCCACAACATGTGAACCCCCGGGAGCTTTCTTCAACAACCCGATTAGATTTCGGAATAGGGCGAAGTGGCCAAGATGATTTACACCAATCTGCGCTTCAAATAGTTGAACCTGTGAATGTATGTATGATAGAAAATACGAGATTAGAGAATGAAATGTACTTTATTAGACAAACAGGTTTTATCGATAACAGAAATAGTTTTTGAGACAATCTATCGCGAATTCAATGTTGATCAACTGCAAATTTCAATCCAGAATCCGAGCCTGGAAGTGTAACCAATGTGTTTTACTAAGTACTCATCTCTGCATTAATCCTGTATACAGTCCATCTTAAAGCATCCGCACCAGACAAAACTTGTACTGTCACAGAGAGTACTAATCACATACGTCATGCATGCCAATATCCAAACATACCGTCTCAGTGCGTTCACGGAGAGCCATAATGCCCGCGTTACACATTAGTATATCCACATGGTCTACTACTCCAGCCAATTCAGTACTGAACTTCTGGACGGTGGTGAGATCGTTGAGATCCATCACCATAGGAACCACAGTGGCGATCACACCCTTATCTGCACAGTACAGTTCAATCTCTTCTTTGGCTTTATTGGCCTTGTCCATGGTACGGCATGGTAGAATTACCTTCGCACCAAATAAGGCAAAGGTTTGCGCGGTCTTCTGACCAATGCCTGAGTTCCCGCCCGTGACTACCACAACCAAGCTGTGATAGAAGTGGAGCATGATAGTCTCAGTATAGATGGCATACTAAAAAGCAACTCAAATTCATATGCACGGTTATTCGGCTGCATATTCAATGCATAATGTGATATCCGGTTGGAGTCAGACCGATTACAACATATAGGCACTAGCTTAAACTATATAATTGTGCGCGCTCATTGCGAAAAACAAAGAGTGCATCTGAGGATCTAACAAAGCGAATGATTCACTGTGAAGTATTCGAACTTGAAGTTAAAGACGCTGTCTGGTCCCAAAAAATAATAGAACGTTCCGTACTATACTTTGGGCTTGGATTTCGATAATAAAATATGACGAAGAATAGAATAATTATATACATCATATTAGGAAAATGGTTTTATTTAGGACGCTGAGCGCTGAGATGTGCCGAGGAAACATTTGATCCAGTTAGAAGCCTTAACACATACTCGATGATTCAAGGGGTTTAGGGTTTAAAACACGTATAAGCGTGAGGTTTAGGGTTTAAAACACGTATAAGCGTGTCAATGACTTTTTATGTTCCTATGAAAAGAAAATTTCACCAATATATATATATATATAATAACCTACATACATACATATATACATACATACATTCACACACACACACACACACATATATATATATATATAAGTTAGTTTTATACACTAT